GTGGTTCTTAACCTTTGTTACTCGGATGTTTTTGAACTGCAACTCCCAGAAACCCCAGCCAGCACAGTTGGTGGTGAAGGCTTCTGGGAGCTGAAGTCCAAAACTCCCGAGTAACCCAAGGTTAAGAACCAGTGTTCTAGGATATCTAACTGAAGTGACTCAGAACATATACATGTGCGTGTACACACGCATGCACGCACGCGCGCACACGCACACACACACTCATGTTTCAGAAATAACAATACTGGCTGCCACAATTACTGCTTCCAACAAAGTCATGGCTAATGCAACCCAACCTATTCTTGAAAATAATAATAATATTAATAAAGTCCTATCATCTACGTTCTAATATTTTAAACTGGCAGAGCCAAAAAAGCAAGTGCGAGGAAGCTGTCAAGACAGCTATAGAAGTTGGCTTCCGTCACATTGATGGCGCATACATATATGACAATGAAGATCAGGTTGGACGTGCTGTTCGACAGAAGATTGCTGATGGGACAATAAAAAGGGAAGACATTTTTTACACAGGAAAGGTATGGTAACCACTTCTGAATGTCCTTTTCTTCTTGCTCAACCAAAATATAATGAACATGTTGTAGAAAAGCCATTGTTCAATAACACATTTCATACACATTATTAAGGCTATTCATGAATAAGGTTGCTCTGTACTATTTATACCATTGATTAGGAATGCTCTCTTATTAGTAAATGTATCTGTTATTGCTCAAGAGGACTTGAATTTTTTTAACTTTTGAAATGTTCATTCCAAAAATTTTCCTTTTTCTATTTACTAGATGGACAGGCTTTTCTTCAGATGTTCAGGTGTAGAGCTGTGACACCCCCTCACAGGCACATTAACAGAGCAGCCCAAGTTCACAAGAACAACAGTTTAATTGTTTTCCAGAATACCAGTTTTATCAATCTACTATGGTTGAACTGTGGACTCCACAGATATGAGCGGCAAAGAAGTTATGAGTTTTTCAGCTTTGTTTTGCCAGATTCTGGCTGCTTAAACAACTCGTGTTCTCCATGGCCTATGACTGCCTGTTCCTTTTCATTTCACAGAACTAACGGCCAGAATCCTATGGAAGACTTACACAGGCATAAGCTATCTGCCACAAACTATGGGAGCAAATTGCCCCTAATTAACAAGATATTGCTCACATTCATAGTCATGCAGAAAGCCAAGTGACTGGCACACAACTAGAAATGCAAGTGGCAACTTGTTAATTAGCAGCAATTATTTGCTGCAGTTTAAGCCATTACACTTACACTGCTAGAAAAGGTTGTAAACATGGTACCTTTGCTCTTGTATTAAACGTAATTATATATCATGATATTAGAGAGAGAAAGAGAGCTATCATGTGTCTTTTATTCTTCTCAGCTAGGCATTTTCTCTTAGCTCAAAGGCTGCTAATTGGATTTAGTAAACAAGCAAGTTCAATTATATGGTTGTAGATTTTTCGGGCTGTTTGGCCGTGTTCTGAAGGCGATTCTTCCTAAGGTTCCCCAGTCTCTTTGGCCGGCATCTTCAGAGGACAGGAGAGATGGTTGGGATTTGCCTTAAATGCCGGAGGTGGGAACACAATTTTACTAATCAGGTTACTCATGAAGGACAATCCCATTTGCATGTAAAGCCTGCCCCCCAAGATATCTATTGTTAAAGAATGGAAGATTGTTATTAACCCAACATGTGCCAGATGAGAAGTCAGAACCTGGCTACAAGAATCAAATTGTGCCTTGGCTAAGATCTCTGCCTGCTACAGTCCTACTGTTCTGTGGTTGTTATCAAAGATTAAACATCTGTACATTTCTGACAGCTTTGGAGTACCTTCCACCGGCCTGAGTTAGTTCGGAAGTGCTTAGAAGAATCTCTGAAGAAGCTCCAGTTTGACTACATGGATCTGTTCATAATTCACAGTCCTTATTCTATGAAGGTGAGGATTCCTCAATAACATTGAAAGCATTACAGCACAATTTAACTGATGAAAAGTAACATTCCCCATGTCTGTCTGAGCATACATGTTCACTAATAACATGTACTGGTTTGGTTGTCATGATTTTGCCAATGAATGTAAAAAACTGTAATTCGTGGAGAGACACAGGCCAGAAAAAGATACAGTATTAGAGATAGTCCATGATATGAAGTGAGAAATTCGTAACTTACGAAAGCATCTGAGTATCCCAGCACAAACTGCTCTCACTTGTGGGATTATGCAAACTAGCTTTGATTTAGATCTTGTCCCCTTCTCTGCAACATTAACATACTTTCAGGTCTAGTTAACAGCTCTTCATAATTCCCCGTTTTGGTCATAATTTCAAGACATCCGGCTCTTTCTCATGGACAGATTACTCTGCTCCCTTCTAAAGCTGAACTGCATATATTTTTATTTTTATTTACAGCCTGGCCCAGAATTAATACCCAGGGGAGAAAATGGAAAATACATTCCTGATGTGGTAGATCTTCGTAAAACATGGGAGGTAGGTGACAGCCCTTACAAAATCAGGACTCTTAGTATTAATATTGTTAGTATTTGTTTCTGCAAGACAGAAAATGATTCATAGCACCTTAAAAAGAGTGTCCTATGAATATCCTAGTACAGTGGTGCCTTGACTTACGAACATAATTGGTTCCAGAACTCTGGTCGTAACTCGAAATGGTTGTACGTCGAAGCACCATTTCCCATAGGAATGGATTGAAATGCAATTAATCCATTCTGGCTGAAGAAAAAAAATCACCCAAAAAGAAAAAAACATGGACGTGATTAAGCCATCAGACATGATTAATCCGTTCCGGCTGGGGGGGGGCAGCAAACAATCCGTGCAAGACCCTTCAGAAATGCAAAAAAGCAAAGCAGAAAGCAAACAAACTGTGCAAGACCCTTCGGAAATGCAAAAAAAGTAAAGCAGAAAGCAAGCAAAGCTTGCAAGCCCCTTCAGAAATGCAAAAAAGCAAAGCAGAAAGCAAACAAAATGTGCAAGACCCATCGGAAATGCAAAAAAGCAAAGCAGAAAGCAAACAAACCATGCAAGACCCATTGGAAATGCAAACAAGCAAAGTAAAAAGCAAACAAACCCTGCAAGACCCATTGGAAATGGGGAAAATAAACCCAAAAATCAAACGAACCCTGCAAGACCCATTGGAAATAGGGGGGACCTCAAAAAGCAAACAAACCCTTCAAGACCCATCCACCATAGAAACACAATCCCACCACCCAGCCCAAAGCCACGCTGCAAAACCCACCCAGAACAGTTTTTTAAAAAGCAGAAAGCAGCACCTTTCCGCACCAGGCAGTCTGAAGCCTCCTCCGATCACACTCACTCTAACTGCTGGGGCAAAAGAGCTACAAAGAAGCAGCCTCTTCGCCTACCAACGGTTAGCAATTTGAATTCCCCACCTTTTCCCCCTGCCTTTTTCTGTTCGTAACTGGAAGCTCCAGCTGCAAGTCAGGCAAAATTTTGCGGCCAGAGCTGGTCGTAACTTGAAATGGTCATATGTTGGGACATTCGTAAGTCGAGGCACCACTGTATTATTCCTTCTGGTGACAAGAACACTCTCAGGAGTGAAGGGACCATGTACACAAAAGCATGCACAAGAAGAACACACCTTTGACCAGATCACACAGAATACAGTTTGAAAAGATAAAACACAGCAAGCTTTATACATACAGTGGTGCCCCGCATAGTGACGATAATCCGTGCAGCAAAAATCACTGCAAAGCGATTTTGTCGCTATGCGGTTTTAAAAAGCCCATAGGAATGCATTGAAACCCCTTCAATGCGTTCCTATGGGCTTAAAACTCACCTTTAAGCGAAAATCCTCCATATGGCGGCCATTTTCACTGCCCGGTAAGTGAGGAATCCGGGCAAAAACACAGTGGGCGGCCATTTTTTTTACCTGGCAGCGATTCTGGAACAGCCGATCAGCTGTTGGAAAATCGTCGCTATGCGATGATCGGTAAGCGAAACAGGGTACCGATCATCGCAAAGCGATTTTTTTCAATTTAAAACGTCGCAATGCGATCGCAAAAACGATCACAAAAACATCGTCGCTATGCAGATTTGTCGTTAAACGGGGCGCCCGTTAAGCGAGGCACCACTGTATATATATGTTTTTCATTCCTTCAAAGAGTTTCTGTAAAGGAATACAGAATAGGTCTTGCCAAGTTTCCTTTACCAGGGCGGGTTATCTGGCATTCCAATCTAGATTGGAGACGCAAAGAGACATAGCAAGGTGGCTGGGTTTTGACTCTCTTCCCCCAGGCAAATACCAAGACCCATCTTATGCAAATTAAACTCCGGTTACCTGGAAAGTGATTGCACGATACCTTTTCCTATACAAACATTTCCTTCTCACACTTTGGAAATATTTTTCACCTAACTTTGTAACCTCTCTACAAGATAATAAATTGTTTTCCTGTCAATACAATACAAAATAGTAACAATGTATTTCCATAATTGCCATCTATGGACCCACCCTGTTGACTCACCCTGTTGTAAAATTCCATACTTTCTGTGATTCCCACTCCAATAAAGTTTTGGGTTCCTCTGTAACCCCATCCCTTCTACCAAGAGGTCGTGAACCAACTATTTCTCTATTTCTCCTCCCATTTCTTTGTACCATGGACCACCCATTTCTCCTCCCATTCTCTTGTGTACCCAACGTTATAAAAGTCCTAGTATTCCTGTGCAACACACAGTTCTTCCTGCCCACACTTGGAGGGATGATGTCCGTCATGCCTTTTATTTAGCTAAATAAAACAGCAACCATTTGAACTCTCGTGTCAAGCTTATTGGCGTTAAAACTTTGACTGTTTATTCCAGGAGACTAGCTTCTGTTTTCATCAGGAGCTCCAAGGATTGCTGTCATTG